CTCCCTGTTTTGCCACTCACACCACTGGTCCTATAGGGCTCATCCGTCCTGGATTCCCTGTATTTTCAGTTCCTATCTGTACCAGTGTAGATTGTAACTCTTTATGGGAGTTGGAACCCCTCTTCTGTTGGTCCCTGAGGAGACTACATTAAGGTCTTCCTAGGTGCCTTTGGAGCAAGGAGATTGTAAGAATCCAGTCCTTCTGTGCAACCATCAGGACCGCCCCCTCCCCAGCCTTGTCACCTGCTCCTTGTCTGTAGGGACACCACCTCCAGTTGATCTCCAGCACACAGCAGCGACCCTTATGGGATGGCAGGCCCTCTGCGCCAGAGAGGACAGCGCTCCAGCTCCACGAAGTAACCTTGAGGCCATAATGCCCGGAATGAAGTAATTTGCTTTATGGGGGGAAAAATAGTCTTCAACATTCGTTATTGTTTTGAAGCATATTTTCATTTCTGATTCATTAGTACTCAGTCTACAATTTGATTAGCTCCTAATTCTTCTGAGCTAACACATTTGGCAAGGTTTCTTGTGCCTTCTATCAGTGATGACGCTGCCAAGTCAAAAAAGCTTAGTGATGACAATGGCAAAATCTGACAACATTGACTAAGATTCTGTTGTGAGCACAACAGAGAAAATCCTGGGAAAGGGCTATGATTGGTTTAGCTTTTTCCTACACTACAAACAAACATTGTTCTTAGTTAGGTACAGGGAATGGTAAAAAGGGTTTTGTTTTCTCCGCAACATAAACACAAACATTTGCAAGCTCCTACCCAGAATTCTCATAATAAATTCAAGACAGTAAATGCAGTCTCCAGGACTGATTTAAATGGTCTTTTCCTTGATGAATTTCTGGGCTTTTCATGAAGGCATGTACTTCTAAAGTAGGGCCTTTCCTACGTATCACATTTTCATTTCCTTGTTTCTTTTCTCTCTTGTGACCTATATAAATGCCTATACAACCTCTGCTAATTCCCAGAAGACAGGGAAGTCTCATTTTTAAACTGACCCTAATGCTAGCAGCAAATAACGGGTTTTTCTTTTTTGCTTCATTTTCAAGAACTTCATTTCCATATTCAGTACGGGAGCAGACAGCTTCAGCTTTCTGCTGAGGTGTGGCTGGTGGGTTTAAATCTTCAGCCTTATCCCTCCAGATTCCTGAGCCCTCAAACCTAAACAGTGGTCTGAGTGGCTTAAAGAAAAAAGGAGGAAGGTGAAATTGAAATGGACTTGGAGTCTTGTAACACACAAGTTCACTTCAAATAATAACACACACACACAAATTTTCAACCTTACACTTAGCAATACAACCCTTACCCAATGCCACTCCTGAGATAGGAGAACATTTTAAAAAGAAAGTGTTCATGTTGAATGCTGTTGAGATGATATCCCACCCATTGCCATAGAGTGGATTCCAACTTATAGCCACCTTCAATGGGGTTTCCAAGACTGTAAATTTTTTTTCTGTATATTGGCTTTATTAAAAAGATTCAAGTATTTCCTTTTGTTGTTGTTTTTTAAACCATTTTATTGGGGGGTGAGATAGTTTATTGTGCCAGCCTGGCTGATAAACACAAGTGGGATTAACTGAAGGGTGGAGAGATAAATGGCCCAGTGAGCCTCGCCTTTCTTGTTTCTCACTCTTTGATCATCGGACCAGCGTGCGGCTGCCTTGCTTATTCTGTGCCTCAATTTACAGGCTACACTACCTGTGGGACGCCTAGCCTGTTGACTGTGTCACTGTAA